TTTCAATCAATGTGCTGCCATCTAGCGGTTAATATTTTTTTCTTTTTGCGTCTAATTTGAAGGCGCCCTAAGTACACACTCCATCACACTGATAGGCCTACGATTAAAACCATCTTGGTTTAAGAATTGATCTATCCAGTAGGATTAACGTGAATATATCTATAATACAAACATGCATCACCTCTTGTTCCTACGAATTAACAATTAAACAAAAACTACATCCACTTGTTCGATTTCATGATAATTCTTAAATATGTATCAATAAAAAACACAGATATACAATTTTAAAATGCATTTAAGATCTAGTGCTTGGCCTATATTATATATTTATTTAAATACAACGAAAGCATACATTCGTAAATAAGGAATGAATATTGAATTTCATAAATACACTTTACAGAGTTTTTTTCTGACTATGTATTGTTTTAACTCACACGAGGTGATAAGATGACAGCGGAAAATCGAGTCTCTTCATATCGCACGCCGGCTTCAACACCGTCATAACTCAAAAAATGGCAAAGTGGCAAGCTAATAATTAAATCTCTGTTACGTTTTCGAACAAATTATCAGTCATCAAGTAACTTCAGACTGAGTATAATGTTGCCATATTTTTTATAATTTTTACCGAAAACCAAAAGAAGTTTCTGTATACACCCATAACATAACCCATAAATTGAAGATTTTTGTGACGACGTTTTAGCCGGTGTGCGATATGATCCATCATGACGGTTACATGAAACAGTAGTAAGCAACAAGTAGAAGTACATTGATTGGTGAGTAACACCAGTCTAAAAATGGTGTAACGATTGTCAATGATACCAAAAAATATACTTTACGTACCACTTACTACTATGGCTCGCATAAAGCTCTTAAGTAAAATAGTGCTTAAGCAGCGGTGGAGGCGGTTAATAATTATTAAATTGTTGTTTCAAATTGACCCGGGCATTATTTATTAAGCACCAAAAGGCTGTCGAACTTGTACGCAAGTAAATTTCGTGTATCTTGCGAGAACTTTTCGGCTTGGTTCATGATATGGTTAATTTTCAGGTTAGTTTTCTTTACTGTATCAGGATACCATACTCGATTATTAAATAATACTGTCGAAATAATTATTTCATTTATCTACATTATTTAAATAAGAAAATTTGCCACCGAAATTAGGAAAAATGAACATGACAATTCCCATATCTCATTCACCAAATGTCTAGTCACTGAAAGTCAAATTTGTTTTTATATTACTTCCCGGCACTAAATAAACAAATAAGTTTATTAGTCCATTTTTAGTGTGTATTGAATGATTAAGCACAATCGATCAATTAATTTTAAGTTAAAATGGAATATCTGTTCGTCTTTCAATTGTTTCTATCTCACATATCCCAAACCATATGATTGATGTTTTGAAGGTAGGCGCAATTTCTGTAATGGACAATCGGGGAATCAGACATTCGTGTTGGACATACGGAGAATTAGACGTCATGAACCAAACCGAATAATTTGTAAATCAATAAGTTATTGCAAAGTGTATTCGCGCCCTTAGTTTTTATGTTGGCGATCTCTTCAAATATTTTATACAATCAATCTAATATTATTACACTTTTGAACATGTCTTAGTTCAGAACTAAAAAGAAATGAGTCAGGGCCATGTTTGGTATTGGTCAGCGAGAGAGTTGCGTAACTTACTTTATGGAAAAGATGTAAACTCTACCATCGCTCTACATTTATGAGGCATTTATATTTGTTAAATAAAGCGTAAGTAACTTTAATTTATTACAAACTAAATATCCTAAAATTGCGAGAAGTAAAATACAAGTACGGTGCAAAAGACCTAAAATTTACAGATAGACAGCACTTGCCCTTACAAATTATTATTATATTACCAGAACCTGTGAAAAAAATAATTAAATAGAAATAACTTAATATGAAATTGCATATTTACTTATTAACGCTGAATCCGCTTATGCTGGACATAAAAAGAATTATGTCCGATGTATGATTACAATAATGACGAATTTTTACTCGCCAATATGAAAATGTACGTTGCTTAATGCATTGTTTTGATTAAATTTCAGACAGTGCCTCTCAGATCTTTGCGGTTTAAACCTCTGAACAGCACTGAAATTGTTATGGACAGGCGTGTCGCTTACCGCCAGCCACACAATTTGTTCGTCCTGTCACTTGTTATCATAAAAAAACTTATTTTGTTGTTGTCCATTTCTAAACAACCCATGTTATCTCAAATAAATGAATGAAAGCAACCAAATCAAATCTCGTGATGCCTGTAAGAAAATTGTTATTATACATAAATTCTTTCAATGTTTCTGTTATAGCTACAGTCTTCAGAAGGTAAAAAAAATACCAATTTCATAATCCACTGTTATGTCTGTCAGATTTATATCACATGAAATTCGTAATTATTGAAAAATTATTTTACTATATGAGAATTGAGTTCTCTACTTTAAACAACATAGTTATTGAATCTGAACCCACGCGAGATAAGTGGAAATTATAAGTTTGTATAACAGTTTTTTTAATGACAAAAACACTGTAACTTATTTTACCATGAATTTTGAATGACATAAACATTGACTTGTTATGTAAGGTAATAAATACAATGTATTAATGTAATAAACTTTGACCTGTAATTTATAATATGGTTATCAATAAATTATTTAAATTTTATTTCATAACTGGATAAGTGCACTTCTGTTTTAAATAACTTTTATCTATTGGACGTGATTTGGATTTTTTAAGTTAATACGTTCTAATGAACGTTATCAATTTTAAACGTATAAAAGATTGAAAATAAAGCGAACTAATGTCAGTTCATACGACGTAAAACCACGTATTATTTAGTAAATTGCCAGTTAAGTTCGTGTTTTAATTTAACTTTTTTATATTGCAAGGTTGAATATAAACGTTACGAATAAGTTGCAGTAGGTTAGGGCGAAACGGTCCGGTGGCATTGATATTGCGTCATTTCTGTTTAGTGTCGCCGTTAAATACGGTGTGGTGTAAGTAAACATGAGTATTGTCATTTCGGTTTAGTGCAAGGTAGAAAAAACAATGGAAGAGCCTTAAGCCTTGGTTACTATTAGAACCGCTGTCGTCAAAACTCACACTATCATAATGTTGAAAGCTATGAAATCTTGATAATGATTGGTCGTAGTTTCCAATTTAAAAAGATGTAACATATTCTGGGCTGTTAATACAATTTAAACTTTTCGCAGTTTTTTTCGCAGGCGTATCGTCACAAATTACTTAATACTAAGTTCAATATCTATTATAGCAAGATACATCATTTTGATCTTATTTTCAATTTTCATTCAATGTTATGCCATCTAACGGCAACAGTTGAAAGACGACGAACCAATAATATTATACTTATTATTTATGCTCACTGCGACGAACAATTAACGCATGTTAACGTTCTCCAAAAAAAGTCGGCCATATTGTAGCGGTATAAGGTTTATTTTCGTTTCTTTTAACAGAAAATCTATTACGTTAAACAAAAAATGGAAAATTTATTAAAATGAAATAAAATAAAGACTGATGAAGATGGTATGAAACACCACAATGAATAATATTACAGGTGCTACTATCATTTTTGCGCTAGAGATTAGCAAAATAAGGTATTGATAATAATAATACGGGTATTGGTATTATTTATTGGTAATATTGGTATATTCATTTCGGTTTAGTATTGCCATTTAATCCATTGTCAAAACAATGTAAACATCTGTCAAAAATTTGACAAGTAATTATAATGGAATGACACAATGTCAATGCCCTCGGTGTGTATTAAGCCATAAGTAGCCGGTTATTCCCAAAAAGTAGTCCATTACTTTGTAAATCCTTATCTACCACATCAAATATCCTTATTCAGTTTACAATATGTCACTAGTTTTTTCCTTACGGGTTTTATAAACATATTTCTTATTGCTGTATTTATAAAGTTTATTTATTGCTTATAAATTACTACCTGCAATACTATCGTTGATGTCGTCCAATACACCCGTTACATTTTCAAATTTAATAAATCTATCATCTCTCTCTTTCTCTTTTTTGTAGTTAAGGTATAGTGCTCATTCATTCTTACCTACCGTTTTACCAAAGCCAAAAATTAACATTGTCAAATCTGGCTCCAATTTCCACGACAGTTAAAAATTACGGCATTCATGCTACTACTACTAAAACATTAATCTCTATTCCCACTGACTTTGAAACGTCTCACATGGAGTCGATTGTAGACTTTAGAATCATTTACGTTGAGTGCTTTGCAAAGCCTGGTTTGAAATTAAGGCCAATTATCCACCATCAGCGAAGAGAGATGGCTTTTAAGCAACCAGTAAGAATTCTTTATTTTCACATCTCTGCACTTACTGGTAAGCTTTGTAGACTACAAAGCTGTTTAACTTTAAACCTATATTCAGGTTTCATAAACAATTAAGTCTCGTGTCGCATAGAAAACCACTGCACGCATGGTATGTAAGTGATTCTAATAACTAGCACATTAAATTTATTATTAATTATTATTTATAGACTTCGTGGTTATTCAATAAATTATTACTTATTTTCTCAGGTTTCTAACCACGTATGACGTACGGAAAAGCTATGAGATCGGAAATAATTTTTATTGTCCATTTCACATAGGATGGGTAATGTGACTTTACATATTTTTAAGTTACATGCATACTATTTTTAATTACTCTCATCACCAGGTTACAAAAATAAATAGTAAATTTGTTATAATATACCAAAAACAAACAATATATTTGTTTCAATTGTAATTTTAAGAAAAAATTACAATATATAAGGTAGACAGTAACTGGAATGATAAAGCTACTTGATGCGTAAACCGGAATATTTATCCATATAGATTTACTCCATGGAATCGGCTGTTTTGTCGACATTAGCTATTGTTGATTTTTTATTTGTTGTGTAGTTGTTTAATAACTTAATAACATAATAATTGTACCCTTTTATTTTATTTATTAATTATGCTTAAACTATATAGTCTTTAAATCGATTCTCTCTTCGTTATAAACCGTCTCACTAAGAAGATATTTAAATAGATTTTTTCCATTCGACTTTACATCACTACATCTCTAGAAACTTCAAATCTCAAACGTCACCTATGGTGATTCACTCTGGACCTTTTGGTGGGAAAAGCGTCGTTTTTTATTTTGACTTTCAATTATTTTGTGAAATCTAGTTTAAAGTGGAATAGGTCAGTGCTATTGTGCCTTAATCGAAGATTAAAACGCGAAATTATACGAATCTCGAACTAAAACACCCGTACCGGCCCGTTTTAAGGAATCCCGAGTCAATCCAAGCACGCCGCCTCAAATTGCCTATCCTCTTTGTGGCGGCCATATTTACAGAAACATAATTAAACGAAGACATAGCTCAAAGAACTTGTATCGAAGCTAAAATTATTAATAATAAAAAATACGTCACCTATATCAATTTCCTCCTAACGTTAGTCCATTCTCCCTTTGTGCATGTCCTGTGTAATTTTATTTAAAAATAAAAGTTTGTTTCTGTAATAGTCTGTAGGTTCTCTGTCGTTGTATTTTCTCCTCTCCGTGAATTCTATTGAAATTCATCGGTCACTTTAAGTTTCTCAACTCGACATTGGCGAAATCACCGATTCGAAGTAATCGAAGATTTCTTGATGGGGCCATAACATTTAAAATAAGAAGTCCTATGTGAATTGGACTATAAATAGGTCTTATAAATACAAGAGTAAATTCTTGTGTACACAACATTCACTCTAGTCTTCGAGAAAATCGTTATTAAAATCTCATTCTTTATTGCGGTTCTATTAGTAAAAAAAATCTAGTAGTAGTAGTAGTAACAAATTTGCAACTTTTCGTATGGAATAAAAAAATTCAATGATAATATTTACATATAAACTAGTTTTTATTTCGGAGTACATGAAAGGAGCCTCCTCCTCACACGACGTACCATTACTCTCCTTGCAAGTACCTTACATCGATTGAACCATTCTTTCACCACGATGGCAAGCCATATTATTATCGACTGTGAACTGGCAACCGGTACTATCTCAATTCTGACAATTTTACAGGATGAAGAAAATAATTGTTTGCATCATTTATATTTTGTTAGCATCTGGTTAGAAGTTAGTACAAATTGAATGAAGTCGAGTCTGACGCCAAAATTAAATGCATTTGAGATGGAATTTATTGCAACGCTGCGGAGTATGAAATAGTATAAAGTGGTATTAAGAAGTGAAATCTTTAAAAAATTGAGATAGTATCAGTTGCCAATTCAGAGTCGATATAGTACATGCATCGATACGTTAAGAAGAATATTGAGTTGATTAATCCTAGTAGGATAACCACGAAAGGCGCCCAGGCAACTGATATTAATATTCTCCCTTTCTGGCCCTTTTCTAATTATTTTTTTAAAGAATCGTCTCAATCATTTTCCTACATTTGTGGTGATGATAAGTATAGTTTATGTTATATTGTATACTTGTGTAATTTAAGTTATCCATAGAAAATGTATCGTGTTCTCTTGGTTTGAATTCAATTTAAGTCGCGGTTTGTACAATCTGTCAACAATTTAACCAGCCGTATGAAAGAAAGAAGTATCAAATCGTAAAGATGTGGAAAAATTTGTAATTATTCTATTATCAATATCTGTAATAAAAGGCGAATGGCGATTATACAATACGGTTTCTTTACAGCGCCTTCGTGTAGCGTATTTTGCTTTATTTGCTACATTTTTTTTACTAGAAGTGCCACCATTGCAAATTATCAGTACTACTTGGTACTTGGTACTTGGTGCAACGGGCTGGTATCCGCAACTCGACGACAAAGCGCCTATTTTGCGTGTGGATTATCAGTATATTGTATTTTTAGAAAAAGTCGCACTTCTTATAGTCTGCATCTTTACAAAGGAGCAAAGTGTGCAGAGTAGACCTTATACGTTTGTAATAAGTCCTATGTGAAATTTCTATGTAAATAATTTCTTATACAAACATACATAGTATTCTATATCGTTGGGGCGACAAGTTATTATTGAAACTTGAATATTATATTCCTTATTCATTTTTATTGGGTATGTAGAAACGAAATCATGGCTTACAGACCGTTCCTTTAAGTCTTGTATAAAGTAATGGCTTCAACATGTATTTTCCTTTTGAGTTTCTTAGCTTATTAGGTGTATAATGTCATAATTAATAGTAAATTAGTTAATTATACTTCCTTATTTATTCCTAATTAGTCCTACCTGTAGCATCTCTAAGTGGATAGATACAGTCGGTGGTAGTCGTTGGCACCGAACGCGGCGTTGCACTTGGGGCACTTGCGTTGTCGCGTCTCGTAGCGCGTGCGCAGGCAATCCCAACAGAACACGTGGAAACATTTTGTGAGTACCGCATCCTTTCTTTTCACCTATGAACAATATATAATGACCTTAAATAAAAAGGTTCCACATCAAAGTGCAGCTTTGGCTTCAAAACTTATACTTGGAAGTTGGAAGCCAGAGAAGATTTTGAATAGATAGAAATCATTATGGTTGTTAGGATTATGAATACAAAGATCAAACACACAAAGTTTTTTCTTTTCTTTTTTTGTCCAACCGGTGGGACATGATATCAGTAGTTCGAAATGACATTTTCCAGAAATAACGTTTGCTCGAATTTTCATAACATCGAAAGTAATTTTGAGTAGAAAATTTTTTTTCTTTTAAACCTAACTTAACCTAACCGAACGTAATCGTGTCTTTGTGATAAATATCCAACATATCCTGAAAGATCAACGGTTTCGTTATAATTCGGTTTTCGGTGTAATGAAAATTCGAACAAACGTTATTTCGGAAAAAAAATTCGAGTTTGTTGTAGGTTACTCTAACCATCTGAACCACGGGTCCAGTTACCGAGGCGTCGAAATTCTCCCATGTGTTTTTGTCATAGACTTTGGGCATTCGGCCCGCTAGTGACATCTAGTGAGAAGTTTTTGAATAACCTTCTCACCGCAGCCTTACAGGTATCACAACTGACGCAGATGTCGCTTTACGATTACATGTATATATTGAGACTTTTTGTGAAATAACTCCATTAGTTTTGTTACGATTATGTATTCAAAGATTGAACACATACAAAATTTTGTGCTTTTCGTCGACCACAAAAAAAACCTAAAAAAAGATAACAAAACGAATAGAGTTATTACACAAAAAATCTCTATATGTACATTATGCTTGTTTACAAGCCTCAGATTTAAATTTGCTGACTACAAAAAAGATAATAAATTATTTCATTATCGCCCTTATACTGGAAAAAACAATTATTTCATAAACAATTGACTTCGAACAAAATGCAATTGAATTTTCAACGACGAATATTTCTTACATATATCGTGATCAACCACATTAATCTCTAACAGATGAGTCCACATATGGTCCACATTATCATCAACCAATTTATACGTCCCAGTTTTACGAGGAGTTTCACATTTTCCGAGGGTTGTGAACCTTCGATTCGATTATTTGACAAGTCGAGGATCCATTACCTTGCATGATGGACAAGTGAGGGTCTCTTTGTACTCTCTGATCTCTTCTAGTAACACCTCGTCCATGCTACTACCGGCCTGCTCCATCTTCTTCATTCGCTCTGCCTTCCGACGGAGTATAGCCAATTCCTCCTGTCAATCACATAAGACTTAATATAGAATACATATTACAACGATATGTATACATGTTAATTGGAGAGTGCGTACGCAAGACCAGACGAAATGTACTGACACAGTTATTAGTGTACTGAGACAATAAACGATTTATTATTATTAATATTACAGTTTAACAAATAAGTTCAACAATGTATGAAGATAGCCGCAGAAAAACAACAACAAAATTTTGAATTTAATTCAAGAGTTTGAATAGAAATTGAAAAGGTGGCAAATAGATACATAAAGATTTATAGCGACTGCTGCTCACTACAACTGGTGTGTGCCATAAGAATAAAGTTCCGGGTTCGATTCCTGAAAAGATCAATTTGAGAAATAAACATTTCTACATCGGTTAAGGCCCTGTACTCTCGTTCTCCATACGACCGAAACAATTACTGTCAAATAAGTAATATTTGACGAAATTAAAAGAAGCATGATGCGAATGAAGCTTCATACTTGAAATTGTTTCTTCGAGTATTTCTAATTTCACAGCAATTGTTTCGAACGGATGTTGAACAGAGAACGAGAGTAGACGCCCTGGTTTGAATGTACCGTATAGTGTGAATTCAGTTACTCTAGTAGAGGGAATTCACTAGTTTGAGGCCACATAATTGGCGTGGTCATCTGGCAGATTATTATTATTATTTTCACGTACCCTTAGTCAAGTGCGGCGATCGTATCAGACAATATAAGCGTGAGTTCCATTGTTAGGATTACAATAAACTTCAAGAACAATAGTGAATCTACTTACGTGGAGTCTCTTTGTTTTATACGCTTCAGCTTCCAATGCACTCGTCTTCTCCGCTACAACTTGTTGCGCTTCTTTCATTTGTGCGTGATATTTCTCTGCAAAAATAATGTGTTTTCATTTTCATTATTATTCGGGGTGTACGAAAGGAGCCACTTTGCACGTACCAGTAGTTTAGTAGCAGTGGAGCTAGTGATGAAACAGACTCAGTCTTTTAAGGCTTTTTATAAACGACTAGACTCCATTTTTCAGGACTCGACTCTAAAATTAAGACTAGGGGTTCGAGTTTTTATTAATAAGACTCATTATCGTTATACTAAAACACTCAAAAGACTTTAACGACTTGAAAGACTTAAACGACTCGAGTTGTTTGCAAAGGACTTATATCAATTTTATGTCTTATTAAACCCGAAGTTTATAAATAAAAATGACGTAAGTAGTGTGTAGTAAATAATCACGTTTAATTACTTATAATAAAAATCGTAAAATAAATATCTTGTGGGTAGAAATAAAATCACGCACTACGGCTCATGACTTGCGACTCCCGAGGCTATGAGGCGCCAGTAGTTTTAGTCTTTTTAGTCATTGTAGTCCTATAAGTCTTTTAAGCTTCCCAGGATTAAAATACTGCGACGCGAATTAATCTTCAGTAGTGATGAAAGAGACTCAGTCTTTTAAGGCTTTTTAAAAAACCTCGACTAATTGTTAACGCCGGCGACTTAAACGACTTGAGGGTTAAAAGACTGAGTCACTTTCATCACTAATTGGAGCTCCTTGTGAAAGAGTTCGTTCAGGGTGGTACGGCCACTTTATCTATTACTGCCACCAAGCGGTAACGCGAGCATTACTACTGCGTTCCGGTTTTGAAAGGTATGGGTGCTGGTGAAATTACAGGTACATAGGACTTTTCAACTCATGTCTCCGGGTGACGGGCGCAGTGGCAGCCCCCCAGATGTTTGTGATTCCTAAAAGCTCTGAGTGGCACTGCAACTGTTATGGACAGGCGTGTAGCATGTGACATGCAAAATCAATGTCAGAATTAATAGTGTTTTTTACTTTAATTTCTAACTGCGTCAAAAATATTAAAAAGGTCTTTACAAACAACTTTACGGATTACGGCGCGCACAGCCGACGAATCGTTTGCCCAATGTTGTCAAGTGATAAATGGAAAACTCGGTAAGTTATTCACAATAACATTTAACACATTCTGAATAAAGCTTTATATATATAATATAATAATTATATATATAAGCTATTTTTTCTATTTTATTAAGTCATGTTAGCAGTGACCATGGAACTTGTAAAGGGCCCGAAACGTTGGTTTGTTTAAAAAAAATACGCAAGTAATAGACAAGCAGGGCAACTCCCGTCTGTTCGCCGCATCAACGATTACACTTGGCTCGGAGAGTAGAGTTGTAACATTATTATTTTACTGATAAAAAACTAAGGGTTTTTGTTTTTTATAATAACTAAGTGACGTGACTTACAAGTCGTGCGCAGTTGCAATACCACTCAGAGCTTTAAATCGCAAATATGTGAGGGGCACTGCCACTGCGCCCAACACCCTGAGACATAATTTGACAAGTCCGATGTGCCTGTAATTGAACCAGCACCCGTAGCCTTCAAAACCGGAACGCAGTAATGCTCATACTATGTTTGGCGGCAGAAATAGGTAAGGTAGCTTTTGCTTCCCTGGACGAACGCTTTCACAAGGAGCTCTGCTACTTAATGGTAATAAGGTGTTCATTGCATTATTCTCGTGTAATATTGAAATAACCTTTGTTAAATGCAGCAGGTACTTACTACTTACGTATTGATATTTTTATACCTGCATCGCGAATTGAAATCTCGATTTTGGGAGTATGTTTATGAAATAGAAATGAAATGCTGAATAAGTCTAAATTTAATATCAATCTTGTTCCACGTCCACAATTTGACGTCATTTTTTAAACACCGAGCGAACGCTTTAATTCTATAATGAATGTACGTGGGATGACTTATTTTGTTGTTTGGATTTTAATCCATTGCCCATTACTGGTTAGTTTATTTGTCTTATTATATTGTCTTATTGTGTCAATAACGATGTAGTGCTTCTTACCAAGATGTAGCTTTAAATCTGCCGCGGATTGCGCTGACTCGATGGCTTTCCGTTTGTGCATCTCCATGGCTTGCTGCCGGAGCAACAACTCTTTCTCCACCGCAGAGAGCGTCGCTTGTAACAGTCGCTCCTTTTCTTCTAGCCTTCGGGCGACTGCACCCATTGATTCGATTTGCTGGTCCCGAGTCAATACCTAAAAGAAAAAACAAAACATAATTAATAACTTATTTATTTCTAGAAACACATGTTGTGTATTGTGTATAGGGTTGGTAAATTTCCGAGAATATTTCCGAAAATGGAAATATTCTCGGAAACATTGCGAGAATGTTTCGCAAATGCGAAATTTACATAAAAAGTTATAAAGAAATATTTTGAAGTTAAGTTGATTGACACATTTTAATTCTTATTAATACCACAGAAATCCATTTTGGTGAAAATACTGCAAAATTTCTTAAATTTCCTTATATTTCATAGAAACTTTCCACGAAATATTTCAGAAACTTTTTGGAAATTTTTCAGAATTTCTTCATTATTTTATATTTTTATAGATAATTTTAATGTGGGGATCAAAATAATGCATAACAAAGGTGATTTAAAACTTTGTATTAAATAATTGAAATTGAATAATAAAAAAAAAATGCTATACAATAGGTATGTAAGAAGCTTGTCGCACTTTGTAGACCAATAAAGTTTTAAAATATAATCAACAATAACAATTTACAAAATAATCAACATATATTATAGTAAAATTATTCAGTGCTCAAACATCAACAATTATAATTAAAATAGGTACCTCAAGAACAAATAACAAAATCACAGATTGGTTCTTAATTATGAAAAATACTGGGATTAAAAAACTTAAGAATCAAAATAAAATATAAAACTTAATACTAATCTGTATGCAACTCATCACTGCTCCATGATGTCGTATCTGAACAGGAAGCTACTGATAATGTGTCCTCATTTCTATCATACATAAGGTTCTGTTAGCAAATCAATGTCAGCGTTCAGGTGGTCAATTGAGCATCGATCTGAAATCTTCGCTGTTTTATGTGGAGCGTTTAAAAGTCGCCAATTGTGTGAAACGTAACTTAGTTTTCCAGCCTTGTCTGTTGTTAATTTGTTGCGTTTAGTGGTGTGTATGTTCCCAAATGTTGAAAACGATCGTTCCACTGCTGCAGAAGTTGATGGTACGGTCAAAATTTTGTTGGTCATCTGGCCCAATTTTGTTTGCCCAAAGAAATTATTCCACCATTATTTTTAATATTATTTCTAAATCTGTCAAACAATATATTATCAGAACAAATAACGTTCTTAAATTTTTTAATTAAATAGGTTCATGAAAACGATTCCTGTGCCAAATTTAATACCCTAATTTCAACATATTAACTATTAATACATATACGGTATAAAAGTGGTAAAATCTAAGTGGATTACGAATATTTATTTCATTCATTCTTTTGATGAGTATGAAATTTCCAGGAAACTTTCCATGCAATTTATGGACATTTAAGAGAAGTTACGGAAATTTACTTATTTATTCCGATTTCTTCAAAAAAAGTATTTTGGTTTTACGACCATGATATAGAACTATAATTTTTCTTAAATGTTTCTTGAATATGCGATAGTAAAAATGCAAAGTAAATATGTAAATTTCCATAAATTTCGCGTTTTGAGAATGTTTCCGAAATATTTCAAGAAACATTCAGACTGGAAAGTTTCCAATTTAGGAAAGTTTCCGGCTGCCCATCACTAATTGTGTATGGTCGTAGTCAGCAGTGGGACTAACAATAATATTATTTATTTTAATATATAAATGTAATGTAAGAATAATGTGTAATAATAATTATAAAAACAATAAGTAATAAAACTATTTTTCCGGATTTAAATCGCGCATATTTGTTTTTTCAAACAAACCGACGTTTCGGGCCCTTTATAGGTCCCGTGGTCACGGTTGACTGAGGTGGTACAGTCTTCTTATAGTTACTATAATTATAGTGAAAAGATAGGGTGGTTTGCATTAATATTAGACAAAACTGGTTGTCGGTTTGTTTGAAAAAACAAATATACGCGATTTAAATCCGGAAAAATAGTTTCATTTCCTATGTGTAACAATCGCGAAAACCTAAGAACTCGAAATAAGTAATAATATAATTAATTATCTATATTAGCTAACTACGTCCAACCTTGAAATGCTTTTCAATTTCATCGCCTTATTTTCTCAAACTCTTATCTTAAAGAACAAGGTTACTGAAATGCAAAAACTGGATTTTACATACAAATTTTGCAGGTTGATTTCACATTACATTTCCTTCATATTTACACATTAGCTTTTACCTATTCTTAAAGTAATGCAACCAAATGAACACCCTTGATAAGAAATTTAAAATAAATAGAAGTTTTGCCATCTCCTAAATAATCACTCTTTAATAATAAATAATCAACTCGTAATTTGAGAAAGTAAGGCATCAATATCAGAAGGTTCAAAGCAGTGCTTGTTACTGGGATCACAAAAATTCAATTATCATATCTTCGTCGTCGTATTACTACCCAAAACATGCCTTTTTAGTCACCATCTAAATTCTTCCTAGGTATTTGGATTGGTAAGTCAAATTTGCACAACACAACATTTTATTTAAATATTTTATTGAATCGATATTCAATATTTTTTATGTGAAATTATTCCACTAGTTTGTTATAATTATTAATACACAGATCGAACACTCACACACGAACCAGGACCCAGATTCAGAATTCTTCGATATTTTAATTGAATCGTTCGATTGGAATTCTCGAGTCGAAGGGCGCTTCCGGACTATTTAGAACATTCCGAGTTAAACGTTCAATTCGGATTCAGGTACGGGGGTCTACTCTCGATCTCCGTCCGACATCCGTCCAAAACAATTACTGTCAAATAAGTACTGTTCGACAAAATTAAAAGACAAGTATCAAGTATGAAGCTTCATTCGCATCACGCGTCTTTTCATTTGGTCAAGTATTGCTTATTTGGCAGTAATTGTTTAGGACGGATGTCGGACGGAGATCGAGAGAAAACCCCACGATATCGTTCTCCAACAGCGTTTATGGAGTTAGTCGGTGAAATAGATTACAAAAAATATGAAATCCTTTTACATATATTTTTAAGAGTTTAAATGCCTAAATAGGATATAGGAATGCATTAGTCTCGCATTAAAATAAATTAATAAAATTTAACAAAATCCAGATTTTATTTAAAATAATAAATTTCCATATTACATTCTTGCTTTGTAAACAATAGGACGTTCGGTAACTTTCATTCGATAACTGTTCTGAATAACGTTTGTACATATGTACGTGTTTGCCTTTACCGATCGAGAAGTACTAGTAATCGTACGGGTGTGACGTCATTTCGGTACGGTTTTGAATACGACAGGTTGACGTTCGATTCGGTTATTGTGAATAAAAATGAAAATAAATCGTACGATATCTAAAAGAATCGGTCGACAATGGAGTTATCGTAAGGTTCTGAATCGACCTGCAGGTTCGTTCCGTGGCTTAGTTGGTATAGCGTCTGCCCCGGTATGCTAGAAGACGTCTGTTCGAATCCGGCCGGATCGAAGGATTTTTTTCTGAGTGTTCGATCTTTGTATTAATTAATACAACATTTTATTTTTTTTCACCTAAGTTCTATAACATTGAAATTTGGATGCTGATTAAAAATTAATCTATATATAGGCAGAAGTACCAGTCTACACAAATATTAATAATACCTGCTCTTGCAATAACTGTTTTTCTTCCCGTAGAAGTTTATGTAGGGAGTTGGCTTTAATCCGTTCAGACATCAACTTGAAGTTCGCATCGTCTTTTTCACGTAGCTGTTGTATGAGTCGAGAGTTTTGCTCTTGCATGTCTTCAAACGCTTGCCCTGTTACCTCCATCTCGTTAAGGAGGGCTTCCTCTTCCTAGAGACATGAAAACAATACTTAAATTTTTAAATAAAACCTAGTAGATTTTAACCAGCACAGGCTAAAAATACGAAAATGCTATGGGAGTATTTCGAGGTATTCTGAATAACCATTCTCCTACACTTTCAAAACGGGAGGTGTTATAGTTAGCACATCTATCTGGTTTTCATGTTTCAAGTGATTCTGAACAACAGTCATAACTAGATACCTTACTTTCTCAAATTCGTATCTCATAAAGAGTATTCAGATGGCAAATCTTTCCAATAATTTTAAATTTCTTATCAAGGGTGTTAATTTGTATGCATTACTTTAAGAATAGGTAAAAGCCAGTGTATGAATATGAAGGAAATGTGATGTGAAGTCAGCCTGCAAACCTTGTACACATATACAATCGATTTTATGCATTTTAGTAACTCTTTGCTTTAAGATAAGAGTTTGAGAAAGTAAGGCGACGATATGCTAATCTCCATACCACAGATCGTAGCTCTGAAAAAGGTAAAAATTCCGTCTCATATCTAGAGGGCGCTGATCAATAGTCTGAAAGTAGTTTATATTATGTAAACAGCCCTGGATATCAATGAATTCCTCTTTAATATGTAATTTCTTGTCAGTTTTTTGTCCTTGTAAGAGTATTCAAATATTGATCAGGAGCCAAAATTATTATGTATGTTAGTCTATAAGGTGTGTATTTGTGGGTCTTTGTAACCCGAGTATAAAAAAATAAATAAAAAATAAAAATTAAGTACCTGTGAACCAGCAAAAGGCCTGGAAAAGCCATGCAATGGATCGGCATTAGGGCGCGCTAGTTGTTTCTGAAGCTCGTATTTTTGCTCTTCAAGCTGTTTAATTTTTCGCAACGCGTCTTCATCTGCCAGCCGCCGTTCGCGCTTGCTTTCCTGCGGAATTATCGTATGTTTGTTCTACTAAAACTGACCCTTGTACGAATCCAACATAAAATCGATCGATTTTTTAACAGAATGTGTTCTGTCAGTTCTTCGTGTGTTTTGTGGAAGATACTGCAAGTAAAACTTTCATAAATTGGAAAAAGTCGTTTAACTTCGATACAATTAAATTAATATAACTGTAATACGTGATCCACCTCATCAAAAGTTTCTGAACCACTGAAAACGTCAACTCAAGATGTCGCAGTCTTTAAATCTTGATGGTACAGTTCATAATGAAGGCGAGACTTATTCTCCTACAACACCTATTGACATTTAACTCCTTCCGCTTCTTTAATTACCTGCGCCATTTTCGCCTTTTGACGATGGTCTTCAAGCTCTTGGCGGGCCTTTCGCTCAGCGGCCATCAGCTGTACTTTGTCGCGCTGCTCCTTGCTTACTCCCTTATACATGTCCAGAAGCAGCTTCAGTTCCTTCTGCTCGTTCACTGCTTTCCTGGAAATTTGAATTTGTAAAAAGTTACATACCAACCATAAAAAAATCATAAATCAGTTAACGCGAAGCAACTATGATAACTCGGGAATCGACACCGCAACTTGGCCAAATACTTATAGGAGTGCCCCGAGAGAAATACATTACAATTACAAACAAAAAACTGCTATCAGAATTTTTAAGAGGTATTTTCACATTTAATCAAATTTATAAATATAAATGCATGGTAATCGAAAACAATCGTATCAAAAAAACAAGTTACTTAAGCTGCTGCTTGAGGTCCTTGATGAGCTGGTCTTGCTCAGCGATCTTGGCGCGGTCGTGGTTCTTGTTAGCTGGCGGCTTGGTGTCGGGGCCGACCGCGCCAGCAGCCACGCAGCCAATGCTGCTGCCCTCCTCGCCCTGAGCACAGCACAGCACATGGGTTTACATTGGAACACATTATTCAAAGTGCCAACACTTATCATTGACACTACCTCAGGATCGGGCTCTTCTTTCTTGACGGTAAGCGGTTTCTCGTCCGTCTCTTCCTTCGTTGTTGCACCAGTACGTGCACCCAGGTCTTCCAACTCCTTACGAACCTACACAAAAATGAGATATCACTATTGACCGCGACAGTTAAAAGGTCATAATCATTCCACTCAACTAGTGTTTTTGTACTTTAGGCATCTAGTTCAATTCTGTCATCCATCCAATTTTGATCTCCACCTACAGATTTATACACATATGTACCACGATAGTAATTGAACAAAAAAAAGTAAAAATGTATTAATTACCTTATTTAACTCTTGACTAGTGTCCTTATACTTCCTTTTGTACCGATGTACTTCACCCTTCAATTGCTGATTGTGATTCTGAAGTGATGTTATCAAATGCCTCATCTCTCTGTTAATGGGTCCTGTTTGTTCATTAGCAGCTAGGTTCTGTTCAAATTCTATACGTAACATTTCATATTCTTTACGAAGTTGGCCTAGGACGTCTTCTAGTTGGATCATTTCAGCTCTTAAAGCCTTTTGTCTGGCTAATTCTTCGCTCTGAAATTAATTTGTAAAATCAGGAACATTAATCTATCGATATCATAATATAAATACTTTGTAGAGCCCTAACATATGTAAATAACAATATCAAATTATTTGTTAGCTCTATTGGATAGTAATTCAATGCACGTCTGGTAACTTTCAAGAACAAAGTGTCAGCTCCAACCCTTTGGCCAAGCATAGTAGAATGTGATGTATTATATTTTCTAGCATTCCCACTAGAGCAATTAGTAATGTTTAACTGCCTCCAGAAACGCATACTTCGTTTCAATCCATTACATGGGAAAAGTAAACAAATAGGTCCCTGACCTGACCATAGACAGTTTAATGATGGCCAATTGTACTGCCAACTACAAATAGATTAATTAATTGAATGAATTGATTTGTTTAATGAAATCAGTTGGAATAACAGTTCATTTTGAGATTTGGCTGCTGATTACTATCAAAAAATATGTGATTCGATACAGAGTAATGATATTTCATACATAGGATTAAAAAATTATAATCTGTACGGATTATAGTCAACTCCAGAACGGTAAAAGCATAGAAAAGAAGCAGAGCAACCAATCACATGAAAGAATCAGTGACGAATGTCCAGTCAACAGATAAACAAAATGGCGCACTTTGATGTCGGCCAGGGTACCAATTTAAAAATAAAAACATTAGTACAAGTAAAGTATACAATAGTTAGCTTTGGTTTAAAAAGTTCAAAATATGTGCCAAAGTTTAATTCATTAAATAGGTAAATCGCGACTGTTCGCGACTCAAAACAAGTAGCATGTTAAATCGTATGTTTGTGGCGCCTCTTACGGAAAGTCCTGATAAGTGTTTGATTTGGCGAGGGGTGAGCGAGATATTCGTTATTTCAATTGAAACAATATAAATATTGCTATTGGAGTTTGAGTGTAAAAATGTGTTAGCTTGCGAATAAATACGGTATACTTATACTATTATTGGTTACTACTACATTTTCGAATTAGGAATCGATCACAAAAACTAATTGAATGAACTGAATGATTTTTCCGTACAGCGCTGTGCTACCATAGACTATTCATACTTCTATATTTGAAAAATAACCTCACTTTTTTCGAGTGACATTTTTCAAATGAATATTGTTTGAATAAGTGATGAGATATAATCAAGTCGAAATCTTTAAAATATACGTGAAAGTGTTACTTCTTCCATTTATTGAGTGATTGTTTTAGAATTTTAACCAAACTAGTTTGTTTACAATGTAGTAAAACAGACTATACTATAGTACAATATAAAATACCTCCATCATTTCAATCTGCCTCATATGTAGGTTCTTAGCGTTTTGCAGCTGCAGTCGTGTTTCGTCAAGCGCTGTCTTCATTTGCATCGACTCATT